CATGTCCCCCCCAATCCCTTTATAATCACCTCTCATGTCCCCCCCAATCCCTTTATAATCACCTCTCATGTCCCCCCCAATCCCTTTATAATCACCTCTCATGTCCCCCCCAATCCCTTTATAATCACCTCTCATGTCCCCCCCCCCAATCCCACCCAATCCCTTTATAATCACCTCTCATGTCCCCCCAATCCCTTTATAATCACCCTCACGTCCCCCCCCCCCTTTATAATCACCCTCACGTCCCCCCCTTTATAATCACCCCTCATGCCCCCCTTGTAATCACCCCTCATGCCCCCCCCATCCCTTATGACCCCCCGGGTCCCCTCACCTCTGCCGTAGCCCTGGGTGTGTTTGGCGAAGCTCCTCACCACCGCCTCCACAGCCTCTCTCAGCACCGCCGGGCTCCCGGACACCCCCAGGCTGAGCGGAGGGGGAGGAGCCGTGGCCTGAGAACCGCCCGTCACCCCGGGCCGCAGAGAGCGCAGAGTTCCGCCCGACACCCCCGGCTGCAGCCTCTGAGCGCCCACCGACTCCATGTCCGCCGGAGAACGGGACCCAGGAGAGCCTGCTGCCACTCAACACATCGCCGACCAATCGGCGACCTCCGAAATCTCGGAGGGCGGGACTGAGATGTAACTGAGCACATCGTCAGCCAATCCCCGCCACAGTTCAGCGGAGGGGGTGGGCCGAAATAACGGGATTGAGGAGGCTGAATTGCCACTCTTCTGCTAGATAGGCGGGGCATTTCAACTACCAGCCAATCAGCGGCTCTCCAGGCTTCTGTGGAGGAATAACGGACCGAGTGCCTTCAAGTAAAATGAGAGCCAGCAGCCAATCACACGCCTCAATCTGAGGACTACGCGGCTCTGGATAGGACTATGGATCCGTCACTCTACAACAAAAAGAGGCGGAACCTTTCACGATCTACGAATAACCAAAGAAGAGTGGGCGTGAATAGTCCCGCCTATAACCTGTGATGACGGCTTGCTCTCGTGCGCGTTCACATTGCAGTGTAATGCGCATGCTCCGTGTGGTAGACCAAGGTTCCCGCGAATTGTCTGTGTGTTCCTCCGCCCCGACTGGGATTATATTCTGAGCCCAACAATGGTGTCACTGAGGACTGACCCCAATTATATCCCCAAACATTGGTGTCACTGACCCCAATTATATCCCCAAACATTGCTGTCACTAACCCCAAATATCCCAAAAAATATCCCTCAACATTGGTGTTACTGACCTAAATATTACCCCAAACATTGGTGTCACGTACCCCCAATAATATCCCCAAACATTGGTGTCACCGACCCTAATAATATAACCCAATATTGGTGTGACTGACCCCAATAATATCCTCCAACAATGGTGTCACTGACCCCAATAATATCCCCCAACAATGGTGTCACTGACCCCAATAATATCCTCCAACAATGGTGTCACTGACCCCAATAATATCCTCCAACATTGGTGTCACTGACCCCAATAATATCCTCCAACAATGGTGTCACTGACCTCAATAATATCCCGCAGAATTGGCCTCAATGACCCCAAAAAATATACCCAACATTGCTGTCACTGACCCCCAATATCCCTCAACATAGGTGTCACTGACCTATATATTACCCGCAAACATTGGTGTCACTGACCCCCCGAAAAATATCCCCCCAACATTGGTGTCACTGACCTAAATACTATCCCCAAACATTGGTGTCACCAACCCCAATAATATCCTCCAACATTGGTGTCACTGACCCCAATAATATCCTCCAGCATTGGTGTCACTGACCCCAATAATATCCTCCAACAATGGTGTCACTGACCCCAATAATATCCTCCAACAATGGTGTCACTGACCCCAATATTATCCTCCAACAATGGTGTCACTGACCCCAATAATATCCTCCAACAATGGTGTCACTGACCCCAATAATATCCTCCAACATTTGGTGTCACTGACCATAATAACGTTCTCCAGCATTGGTGTCACTGACCCCAATAATGTCCTCCAACAATGGTGTCACTGACCCCAATAACATCCTCCAACATTTGGTGTCACTGACCATAATAACGTCCTCCAGCATTGGTGTCACTGACCCCAATAATGTCCTCCAACAATGGTGTCACTGACCCCAATAATATCCTCCAGCATTCGTGTCACTGACCCCAATAATGTCCTCCAACAATGGTGTCACTGACCCCAATAATATCCTCCAGCATTAGTGTCACTGACCCCAATAATGTCCTCCAACAATGGTGTCACTGACCCCAATAATATCCTCCAGCATTGGTGTCACTGACTCCAATAATATCCTCCAACATTTGGTGTCACTGACCCCAATAATATACCCCACAATGGTGTCACTGACCCCAATATTGTACTCCAACATTGGCACACAAAGGGAGTAGAACTATCAAAATTTTTCTCCGCCACCTCCAATATGGCGCCCAGCATCTGCCGGCCACGCCTCTTTGCCATCCCCAATATGGCTGCGGCCCAGTGGCGCACGCCCTCTCACTTCCGCTCCTCTTGTCGCAGCTGTATATACGTCATCGGACGACGCCGGAAGTGGTGTGATTTTTGCTCCTCAGTCCGCTGGTTTCCTCGGAAAGCACACAGCGATCATGGCGGATGTTCTTGATCTACACGAGGCCGGCGGGGAAGACTTCGCCATGGATGAGGACGGGGACGGTGAGAGGAGGGAGGGGGGTTGTCCCATTGAGAGAGGACCAGCAAACCAGTGTGTGGGGGGAGGGGGCAGGGTTAGGGGAGTTAGCATGGAGGTCTAGGGATCCTGACGGACCAGTGGGGGGCTAGGAGTCTCAGCAGACCAGGAAGAGGAGGCGGTCCAGCGGGGGGAGGACTGGGGGCGCCAGCGGTCCAGTGGGGGAGAACTGGGGGTGCCGGCAGGTCCAGGTGGGAAAGACTTGCGGGCGGCTGCGGCGGTCCAGCCGGGGGAGAGGCTTGTGGGCGGCTGCGGCGGTCCAGCCGGGGGAGAGGCTTGTGGGCGGCTGCGGCGGTCCAGCCGGGGGGAGAGGCTTGTGGGCGGCTGCGGCGGTCCAGCCGGGGGAGAGGCTTGTGGGCGGCTGCGGCGGTCCAGCCGGGGGAGAGGCTTGTGGGCGGCTGCGGCGGTCCAGCCGGGGGAGAGGCTTGTGGGCGGCTGCGGCGGTCCAGCCGGGGGAGAGGCTTGTGGGCGGCTGCGGCGGTCCAGCCGGGGGAGAGGCTTGTGGGCGGCTGCGGCGGTCCAGCCGGGGGAGAGGCTTGTGGGCGGCTGCGGCGGTCCAGCCGGGGGAGAGGCTTGTGGGCGGCTGCGGCGGTCCAGCCGGGGGAGAGGCTTGTGGGCGGCTGCGGCGGTCCAGCCGGGGGAGAGACTTGTGGGCGGGCTGCGGCGGTCCAGCCGGGGGAGAGACTTGTGGGCGGCTGCGGCGGTCCAGCCGGGGGAGAGACTTGTGGGCGGCTGCGGCGGTCCAGCCGGGGGAGAGACTTGTGGGCGGCTGCGGCGGTCCAGCCGGGGGAGAGACTTGTGGGCGGCTGCGGCGGTCCAGCCGGGGGAGAGACTTGTGGGCGGCTGCGGCGGTCCAGCCGGGGGAGAGACTTGTGGGCGGCTGCGGCGGTCCAGCCGGGGGAGAGACTTGTGGGCGGCTGCGGCGGTCCAGCCGGGGGAGAGACTTGTGGGCGGCTGCGGCGGTCCAGCCGGGGGAGAGACTTGTGGGCGGCTGCGGCGGTCCAGCCGGGGGAGAGACTTGTGGGCGGCTGCGGCGGTCCAGCCGGGGGAGAGACTTGTGGGCGGCTGCGGCGGTCCAGCCGGGGGGAGAGGCTTGCGGTCCAGGGCGGCGGCGGTGCAGCCGGGGGAGCCGGGGGAGAGGCTTGTGTGGGCGGGCGGCGGTGCAGCCGGGGGAGAGGCTTGTGTGGGCGGCGGCGGTGCAGCCGGGGGAGAGGCTTGTGTGGGCGGCGGCGGTGCAGCCGGGGGAGAGGCTTGTGTGGGCGGCGGCGGTGCAGCCGGGGGAGAGGCTTGTGTGGGCAGGGGGGGCGGCGGTGCAGCCGGGGGAGAGGCTTGTGTGGGCGGCGGCGGTGCAGCCGGGGGGAGAGGCTTGTGTGGGCGGCGGCGGTGCAGCCGGGGGAGAGGCTTGTGTGGGCGGCGGCGGTGCAGCCGGGGGAGAGGCTTGTGTGGGCGGCGGCGGTCCAGCCGGGGAGAGGCTTGTGTGGTCGGCGGCGGTCCAGCCGGGGGAGAGGCTTGTGGGCGGCTGGATCGGGGAAGAGATGGCGGTGACTATTCATAGACTGATCTGTCACATGACCAAAGCCAACCCCGTTCTGTACAGAGTTCTCACCGGGACAGGAAGTGAGGGGAATCTTTACAATGGGGACACGGAAACTGCCACCCTTCCCCCACCCTATCGGCCTCAAGAATACATCCGGCTGTAGATAGACCCGCCCAATATTTCTCCTTTTTCTTCCAGAAAGTATTCACAAGCTGAAGGAGAAGGCCAAGAAGAGGAAAGGCCGAGGATTTGGAGCAGGTGAGACCTCCTATTCGTATTGCTGCAGACACCAGCTATTGGGGGGGGCGGGGTGCACAGTGATGTTCAGGTCGATCTCTCGGACGTTTTCTGTCCTCTCACTAGAGGACGGCTAATTTGTGTTTTGTTTTCCCCGCAGAGGAGGGGTCCCGGGCCCGCATCCGAGAGGACTATGATAGCGTGGAGCAGGACGGGGACGAGCCCGGCCCTCAGAGATGTAAGTCTGGGCGCAGCTCCTCACCTGATCGTCCTGATGGTGAATGGTGGAGGGGGGAGTGTCCTAATGGGGACACCCGATCCAGTCCCAGAGTAGAGATTTGCATCCTTCTGTCACACTGCGAACCGGAACAGACCCCCTCCTACTGAGAGCCCCGAGGGGGGGGGGCTCTGTTATCGCAGGAAGTAGCCCCATCACCTACACCCTTCCTTCTACGAGGGACGCAGCGATCTATCGCCAGCCGAAATGTGTCGGCCAAAAGTAGTGTTATCACCATTTTGCTGATAGGAAAAAACGTGACGATAAACGCAGGAATTTGCCCGCAATCTTATATATTTCATTGGACGTGATTCAAAAACGCAACACGAGTGCGATTCTGCTGCGTTTTCAATGCATTTCAGGCCTGGTTCACACCAGTGCAGCTTGCGTGCCGTCCGTTTTGCACATACTAAGTACTATCCCCCAACATTGGTGTCACGGACCCCAATAATATCCCCCAATAATAGTGCCCCATTGATGGTGTCAGTGGGAGTGATGGTGCTACTTGGAGGGGGGAATATGTGCATGGAGGGGGGAATGTGTTTTGGGGTGGGGGGGCAATATGTGCTGGGAGAGGGGGATTTGGAGGGGGGGATATGTGCTGGGAGAGGGGGATTTGGAGGGGGGGATATGTGCTGGGAGAGGGGGATTTGGAGGGGGGGATATGTGCTGGGAGAGGGGGATTTGGAGGGGGGGGGGGATATGTGCTGGGAGAGGGGGATTTGGAGGGGGGGGGGGCTATGTGCTGGGAGAGGGGGATTTGGATGATATGTGCTGGAGACTGGGGGGGGGGGGGGATATGTGCTGGGAGAGGGGGATTTGGAGGGGGGGATATGTGCTGGGAGAGGGGGATTTGGAGGGGGGGGGATATGTGCTGGGAGAGGGGGATTTGGAGGGGGGGGGGATATGTGCTGGGAGAGGGGGATTTGCAGGGGGGGGGGATATGTGCTGGGAGAGGGGGATTTGCAGGGGGGGGGATATGTGCTGGGAGAGGGGGATTTGCAGGGGGGGGGATATGTGCTGGGAGAGGGGGATTTGCGGGGTGGGGGGGGGGGATATGTGCTGGGAGAGGGGGATTTGCGGGGGGGGGGGGGATATGTGCTGGGAGAGGGGGATGTGCGGGGGGGGGGGGGATATGATATGTGCTGGGAGAGGGGGATGTGCGGGGGGGGGGGGGGGGATATGTGCTGGGAGAGGGGGATGTGCGGGGGGGGGGGGGGGGGGGGGATATGTGCTGGGAGAGGGGGATGTGCGGGTGGGGGGGGGGGGGGATATGTGCTGGGAGAGGGGGATTTGCGGGGGGGGGGGGGATATGTGCTGGGAGAGGGGGATTTGCGGGGGGGGGGGGGGATATGTGCTGGGAGAGGGGGATTTGCGGGGGGGGGGAGATTTGCAGGGGGGGGGGAATATGTGCTGGGAGAGGGGGATTTGCGGGGGGGGGGAATATGTGCTGGGAGAGGGGGATTTGCGGGGGGGGAAATATGTGCTGGGAGAGGGGGATTTGCGGGGGGGGGGAATATGTGCTGGGAGAGGGGGATTTGTGCTGGTGGGGGATATTTGGCATTCGATGACCTTGTCCCGGCACTGACCATCACCCTCCCAATAAAACCTTTAATAACTATATATGTAATTAGGGGCGGAGCCTATCTCCAGCATCTCAGGTCCCATTGACCCCTTTTGATTGCGCTGGTTGAACCCAGAGCTCCGGCCCCCCTTTCTCCTCGGATTTGCGCACAGCGCCCGTCTTACCTGTCCCCTCATTTACACCCATTGGTGGTTTCTCTCGTCAGCTGTGGAGGGCTGGATCCTGTTTGTCACCGGAGTCCACGAGGAGGCCACGGAAGAGGACATCCACGACAAGTTCGCTGAATTCGGAGAGATCAAAAACCTTCACTTAAATCTGGACCGCAGGACGGGCTATCTGAAGGTCAGAAACCATCCGCTGTGTCTGCTGCCTTTCCATTCTGGGTGGAGCGGGTCTGCTGGGGGCCCCTGAGGTGGGGAGGGGGGGGGGCGGGGGGATTGGCCAGGCCAAAGTGGTTAAAGGATCATCCCTCCTGTAAGGTTCGTCATTCTTTCCCGGGGACCTCCTTTTATCATCTCCGACCAGCCAAACTATAACCCCCCCCGCCATTGTATCTAATCCCAGTTGTAACATTTACTGTGGGGGGGTTCTGTCTCCTGCAGGGTTACGCCTTGGTGGAGTACGAGACCTACAAGGAGGCTCTGGCTGCTATGGAAGGATTGAACGGTCAGGATCTTATGGGGCAGCCGGTCAGCGTGGATTGGGGATTTGTTCGCGGACCACCAAAGGGGAAGAGACGGTAAGTTGTGTCATCGGATGTCATTATTGAGGGCTGAGATGCAGGGGCGTACTTACCACAAGGCATTTGCCTAGGGCGGCTTTTTTTTATGGGCCCCCCCCCCCCCCCCCCCCGGAAGAAGGGACATATGAGGCATGGGGACCAGGCGGGATCTGAGATTGGCTGTGGGCTGCTTGATGGTGCATGGTAGAGCCTGTCATTCCTGGGGATTTCCAGAGATGAGTGTCTTTCTATCTGTTGCCAGGGGGTGGGTGTTGGGGAAAGGCTCTCTTGGGTGAGGGGGGATGACGGGGCAGGGGTGTTTGGTCACTGTCAGACCCCCTCTGCGGGGGGGGGGGGGGTGTAAGGGGGTCTGGCGGTGGTCGGTGTCAGGCTCTACTCCAGGGCCTAGGGCAGCACAAAACCTGAATACACCACTGTTGAGATGCATCGTCTGGCATGGGAGGGTCAGTAGCGAGGGGGGGGGGGGGGGGGCAGTTGTAATTGTACCTCCAAACATGTGCAATTGCCCTTAGCTATGAGAGGATGGGGGGGGGGGCAACTAGGGTTCTATATACAAAATGTGGAGCCAGTCCCAGACCGTGGAAGATGAGGCGCACAACCACAGCGGCTGCAGAACCGCTAAAACCCGACAGGTGTGTGTTTGTCTTTCTTTGTCTGGTTTTTTTTTTTTTTTTTCTTCTTTTCCAAAAAAAGGAAGAGAAAAGAAGAAAAAAGACAAAGCAAAAAAAAAAAGACAAAATTTTTTTTTTTTTATTTTTGCAAAAAAAGAGAAGAAATTTTTTTGTTGTTTTTTTCTTTTGTCTGACTTTCTTTTCTGTCTTTTTCGGAAAAGAAAAAAAAAAAAAGACAAAATAAGAAGGAAAAAGAAAATAAAAAGGACAAAAAAATAATTTTTTTTTTCTTCCTTTTTGTCTTTCTTTTCTGTCTTTTTCGGAAAAGAAGAAAGAAAAAATTCTTTTTTTTGTTCTTTTTATTTTCTTTTTCCTTCTTATTTTGTCTTTTTTTTTTTTTTTTCTTTTCCAAAAAAGAGGAAAAAGACAGAAAAGAAAGGAAGAAAAAGAAAAAAATTCTTTTTTTTTTTTTTTATTTTATTTCTTTCAACTTTGAATTTCCATGATTTCAGCGTCTGATCTCGGTGTGACTTCATGCACAAATGTCAATTTAAGTCTCCCCTGATATCTGCAAAAGTAGCGCAGGAACTGCTTTCCAAATTGGTGCGACTCCGACTTGGGATTAGGATGGTTCCATGGCCGATCGTAGGGTGCGACTTGTGCGGTTTGATGACGTCAAATCGCATGACAGGTCCCATCGGCATGACAGGGCTCAGCCAAGATCAGTGTTCCTCAGCTGACAGGGAGGAAGATTGTTTGTTTGTAAACAAGACAACCTTCCCTCCCTGTCAGATGCCCGGTAATTACCGTCTGGGACCCGGTGATTGACATCCGTGGCTGTGAATGGCGGCACGGGTAGGGCACGCGCACGCGCTCCCTACCCGTAAATGCGAAATCACATAGATCTGCTATGGGGCGGTCCTTAGGCTGTTGAAGGGAAAGTTGTTATCGATGTGTTCAGGTGTCAGTAAAGCTCTGAATTGCATTTTATTTTTTCACCTTCCCAGAAGCGGGAGGAGGAGGAGCCGAAGTCCGGACAGGAGACGGCGCTAAAGATCCCCCAATCACCACCCTGCATCCGTTTCTGTTCTTACCCCAGTTTATGTTTTTGTTACATTTAGTTATTGATTTCATTTGGGTAGTGGTGGGGTGCATGTCGTGCCTACCTGGGAAAAGTTTGGGGGTTTGGGTGTGGTCAGCCAGTTGCCCAAAATCTAACGCATCGCCCATCGAAAAACTGGACCGACTAATGCCATAAAGGGTCGCCTGATTGGCAGAAGAAAATACGCTTTGATATCGGCTGTGTGGGTGGGAGGCGGTCCCTGTGAGATGTTTTTGCAACACTGCTAAATAAAGTTTTTATGTTACCCACTGGAGTGATTATTCGGACAATGTGGGGGAGGGGCACAGTGTGTGATTCGTGGGGTATGTGAGTCTGGGGTGGGGTATGTGAGTCTGGGGTGGGGTATGTGAGTCTGGGGTGGGGTATGTGAGTCTGGGGTGGGGTATGTGAGTCTGGGGTGGGGTATGTGAGTCTGGGGTGGGGTATGTGAGTCTGGGGTGGGGTATGGTGGGGTATGTGAGTCTGGGGTGGGGTATGGTGGGGTATGTGAGTCTGGGGTGGGGTATGTGGGGGTGGGGTATGGTGGGGTATGTGAGTCTGGGGTGGGGTATGTGGGGGTGGGGTATGGTGAGGTGTGATGTGAGTCTGGGGGAGGGGCACAGTGCGTGAGTCTGGGGTGTGTGGGGGGTGCGCACAAAACATGTTCTGTCATTTATTGCAGGGTGAATGTTCATAGACGCTGGTACCTTCAGAATGATTGGCAAGCTTTTCAGGACACTCCCCCCTCCTGATGATTTTTTTTTTATTTTGGTGGAGTTCTCCTTTCATTGTGTCCATGTGCAGAGTTGAATGTGAACCGGAGTGACTATATAATTATCCATCAGCAGCAGCACCCGCAGGGCTCCATTGAGGAAAATGTCGGGATCTGCATCCCTTTTGGACGTGATTATCTCACCAAAAATAACATTTTTGCTGCAGGGGATGCCCAAAATCTGACTTGTATCTTACCCCCTAGGTTCACGTCTGTGCGGGTGGTTCCTCTGCGGATCCATGCAGCCGCACCACCAGCACAGAGAATTGCAGACCCGCGGGCGGGTGCCATTCTAATAGAACGCCACACACACTGGGAACCTTGGCTGCGTCGTCCCAAAAAAGTGCAGGGGCGTGTCCTGGGGCACGGGAGTCTGTTCAAATGAATGGGCTCTTGCGCCCGTGCAAAAACGGGGCCTGCACGGCCGCGAACTGGGGGTTACTGCAGACTACTGGGAAAATCTGGGAGCCAATCAGACAAGCGGGAAAAATAAATTGTAACTTTGTATCGGCGTTGTAACGTCAAGTTCACACACAACGCTGCCACTCCCAGATTCCACCATTAGATGGCGCTGTGGACGGCCTTCATCGTTCCTTGTCATCCATCTTGACCCACAACGAACAATCGCTGATCGATAGACGGCGGCGGATCCTGAGTCATGGTCTATGCATAGAATAAAGAGAACCTGTATTCCTTCATGGGACTTTTTTTCTTTCATTTGAAGCCCCGATGCACCTAATCTGTCTGCTGACCCCCCCCCCCCCCCAAACCTTAATGGCCTTGGGTGTCACTGGCCCCAGAACAAGCACGTAGATCAGAGACTATGCCTTTCCCCTCGATTCATTGGCTGCGGCTTGCATCAAGTCCAGGACTCCAAGAACTGGAACCACAACATATAAGCCGGGGGGACCCTGTAAGGTGGAAAGGGCACCAGATATGGATCTGGAAGGTGGAAAGGGCACCAGATATGGATCTGGAAGGTGGAAAGGGCACCAGATATGGCTCTGTAAAGTGGAAAGGGCACCAGATATGGCTCTGGAAGGTGGAAAGGGCACCAGATATGGCGGTGGAAAGGGCACCAGATATGGCTCTGGAAGGTGGAAAAGGGCACCAGATATGGCTCTGGAAGGTGGAAAGGGCACCAGATATGGCCCCGTGAAGTGGAAAGGACACCAGATATGGTCCCGTGAAGTGGAAAGGACACCAGATATGGCTCTGTGAAGTGGAAAGGACACCAGATATGGCTCTGTGAAGTGGAAAGGACACCAGATATGGCTCTGTGAAGTGTACAGGGCACCAGATATGGCTCTGTAAAGTAAAAAGGACACCAGATATGACTGAAAGGGCAGCAGATATGACTGAAAGGGCAGCAGATATGGCTCTGTAAGGTGGAAAGGGCACCAGATATGGCTCTGGAAGGTGGAAAGGATCCCAGATATGGCTTTGTAAGGTGGAAAGGGCACCAGCTATGGCCCTGTGAAGTGGAAAGGACACCAGATATGGTCCCGTGAAGTGGAAAGGACACCAGATATTGCTCTGTGAAGTGGAAAGGACACCAGATATGGTTCTGTAAAGTAAAAAGGACACCAGATATGACTGAAAGGGCAGCAGATATGGCTCTGTAAACTAGAAGCAGCACCAGATATGGCTCTGTGAAGTGGAAAGGGCACCTGATATGACTGAAAGGGCAGCAGATATGGCTTTGTGAAGGGAAAGCGGCACCAAATATGCATCATTATATTTGTAGTTCTCCTACATCTCCAGAACTCAAGCGACAGAAAACCTCCCCCCCCCCCCCCCCCCCACACACCATTTGGAATGGTCGAATTTAGTTGATCTCTCTCTGCAGTAGATGGATCAGCGGATGAGCCGGTCACTCCCTTCTCCTCTTACAGGAACAGCCGGACGGCTCTCTGCAGGTTGGGGGGGGGGGGGAGGGGGCTGGGGCTCAAGGTCGTGGATGTTGGGGTAATCTAGTATGACCGTGCGATCTTCCTGAGATGCCAGGCGGATCACAGAGATGTCGCCGCTGTGAGGAAAGAGCTGTTACACCGCCACCTTCCAGCGAACCTCCATATAAAAATAGAAACAATTTGTCCTTCGAAAAATCTAATGTTCTATATAAAGGAGTCAGGATCTCCTTCTAAGAAAGAAAGATGCTGAAATGACTCTGATCAGTGTGCAAAATCTGGTACCCGACACCCTCACAAACTATGTGCCCCTCCCCTTCATCCCCGCACTGCATCCTGGTACTGATAGCTGAGCTCATGCACCCGCTGTGCCCATTATGAGGGGTTCCCACCATCCCTGTGCTGAGTTCCCGGGTCTGTACCCCCGCTGTGTCCATTATGAGGGGTTCCCACCATCCCTGTGCCGAGTTCCCGGGTCTGTACGCCCGCTGTGCCCATTATGAGGGGTTCCCACCATCCCTGTGCCGAGTTCCCGGGTCTGTACGCCCGCTGTGCCCATTATGAGGGGTTCCCACCATCCCTGTGCCGAGTTCCCGGGTCTGTACCCCCGCTGTGCCCATTATGAGGGGTTCCCACCATACCTATGCTGAGTTCCCAGGTCTGTACACCCGCTGTGCCCATTATGAGGGGTTCCCACCATACCCCGTGCCGAGTTCCCGGGTCTGTACACTGGCTGTGCCCATTATGAGGGGTTCCCACCGTCCCTGTGCTGAGTTCCCGGGTCTGTACGCCCGCTGTGCCCATTATGAGGGGTTCCCACCATCCCTGTGCCGAGTTCCCGGGTCTGTACGCCCGCTGTGCCCATTATGAGGGGTTTCCCACCATCCCCGTGCCGAGTTCCCGGGTCTGTACGCCCGCTGTGCCCATTATGAGGGGGTTCCCACCATCCCCGTGCCGAGTTCCCGGGTCTGTACGCCCGCTGTGCCCATTATGAGGGGTTCCCACCATCCCCGTGCCGAGTTCCCGGGTCTGTACCCCCGCTGTGTCTATTATGAGGGGTTCCCACCATCCCCGTGCCGAGTCCCCGGGTCTGTACCCCGCTGTGTGCCCATTATGAGGGGTTCCCACCATCCCTGTGCCGAGTTCCCGGGTCTGTACGCCCGCTGTGCCCATTATGAGGGGTTCCCACCATCCCCGTGCCGAGTTCCCGGGTCTGTACACCCGCTGTGCCCATTATGAGGGGTTCCCACCATCCCCCTGCCAAGTTCCCAGGTCTCTCTACGCCTGCTGTGCCCATTATGAGGGGTTCCCACCATCCCTGTGCATCTAAAATAACGAGCAGGTCAATGGTCTAATAAAATCAGAATTTATTGGTCTCCGGCTAGAAACACAACATAGGTCTTGTAGTAGGACAACAGCAGGTCTTGTCTGTGACCATAAGAGGGCGCTGTGCACACCCCCCTCTCAGTCCCCCCCCCCCCTCCCCCCGCCTCTTACGGGTCTCATTATAAGACCATTAGCCCGGTAACTCCTGATTTCTATCACCAGAAATAATTACATTTATGGGGCCGCCCTAGGCGATCGTCTTTTGCCTTTGCTCCTTAATTCAATGAAAAGACAATCGGCCAATCATATCAGCTTTTATAGATTCTCTTCATCCACATAGGAAGACTTTTCGTCCTTTTGTATAAAAAAAAAATAAAAAAAAATTGTAATTTCACTGATTGGCCGTTTTTTATGAATTTTGGGGCCGTAGCACGTCGAGTGCAACACAACAGGGAGCTGAAGTTTAATCCACTTGTATTTTGCCTTTTTTGCATTTATGATGTCACCACTGGGTCTCTGTGCTTCTCTATGCAACGCAGGCAGATCATGGCTGGTTGGAGGGGTTGTACATAGCTGCCTTAAAACATCACAGCAGCCTTTAATGTTTTTCTAAATCCAATATTGTTTTCTGTTTTGGATGGAGCAACCTCTGTTCTACTGAAAATACAACATTCAGGATCAACCAGACGACTACAACGCCCTGAAAACGAAGCTTTGGGTTCCTCCTTTCATTTTTTTTCCACCCGGTGACTTCGCCCGTTCCTTCACATAAAGCTCTCCACGATTTTGCGCTTGCAGTGTTCGCATTTCCCTGAATGGAGGCCCACACTGGTGACCTCCAGGTCGAACTTACACGAGCCCCCGAAGCCCCCCCGCCGACCTCTTCAGGGGCACGGCGGCTGTGGAGATGCGGAAGGACCCGGTGCCCAGCGAGGTCGCATCAGCGTCCTTTCCCTGAGTGGCGCACCTGCAGACGCGTCGTATTTCCCGGCGGAAGTGGATGGTGAAGAGGCCGTAGATGATGGGGTCGAGGCACGCGTTGAAAAGGCCAAAGAGGAAGAGGATGTGGCTGAGGGATGGAGGAACCCTTCGACTAGTCAGCATCTCCGGGGAGAACCAGTACCAGATCCCAGGAGGTAGTACGGCGTCCAGCACACGATGAACGTCAAGACGATGACCAACGACATCTTGAAAGTCCTCATCCGAGCCCGTGGGATGTTGTTGTAGGAGCGCCGGAGGTTGACTTCTCTGGAGGAAACTGGAAGAAAGAACACGTTAATGGACCACCAGGAAGTTGGTGGTTGGGTTTGGTTGGGTTGGGTGTGGTTGGATTTGGTTGGGTTGGGTGTGGTTGGATTTGGTTGGGTTGGGTGTGGTTGGATTTGGTTGGGTTGGGTGTGGTTGGGTTGGTTGGGTTGGGTTGGTTGGTTTGGTTGGGTTGGGTGTGGTTGGGTTTGGTTGGGTGTGGTTGGGTTGGGTTTAACCAAATGGTCATTCATGGAAGAACAAGTCCCTAGAGAGGGAGAGGAGCCACCAAAGCCTGACTCAACTGATCATGATCTGTCCTGGCGCCAACATGGCAGCGTACATATGGATTGGCACCAGGTGAGAAAAATTAAGGGAAGTATTTGACAGAATTTTCCATGATCTAATTGGTACTTCAGGAGACTTACAACAACCAATCTACATCGTCCTGCTGCAACATTGTATTACTATTGGCTGTCATTGATCATGTGACATCCTCAGAACTCTATTCCTCATTACTACTGGCTCTCATGGATCACAGGACATCCTCAAACCAGCGGTTTCCATTACTATTGGCTGTCAATGATCACATGACATCTTCACATGTGCAGCTTTCATTACTATTGGCTGTCAATGATCATGTGACATCCTCAAATCACCGGTTTCCACTACTATTGGCTGTCAGTGATCACATGAGACATCCCCACATGGGCAGCATTCATTACTATTGGCTGTCAGTGATCACATGACATCCTCAAACCACTTGTTTCCATTACTATTGGCTGTCAGTGATCACATGAGACATCCCCACATGGGCAGCATTCATTACTATTGGCTGTCAGTGATCACATGACATCCTCAAACCACTTGTTTCCATTACTATTGGCTGTCAGTGATCACATGAGACATCCCCACATGGGCAGTTTCCATTACTATAGGCTGTCAGTGATCACATAACATCCCCACATGGGCAGCTTTCATTACTATTGGCTGTCATTGATCACATGACATCCTCAAACCACCTATTTGCATTACAATTGGCTGCCAATGATCACATGACATCCCTACATGGGCAGCTTTCATTACTATTGGCTGTCAATGATCACATAATAGCCTAACACATGGCCATATTTAATTACGATTGGCTATGACTGATCACATGACATCCTCACACCTCCTGCTTTCATTACTATTGGCTATCAGTAATCACATGACTTCCTCACATCACCAGTTTTCACTACACTGGCTCTGAGTAATCACATGACATCCTCACACCACCAATCATTACTATTGGTGGTCAATGATCACATGATATCCTCGGGCCACCAGTAATCATTACTATTGGTGGTCAATGATCACATGATATCCTCGGGCCACCAGTAGTCATTACAATTGGCTGTCAATGGTCACATGACACCCTCAGGTCGCCAGTTGTCACTACAGTGGCTCTGAGTAATCGTGACATCCTCAGGCCACCAGCAGTCATTACTATTGGCGGTCAATGATCACATGACATCCTCAGCCTGCCGGCTTTGACTACATGGGCTCTGAGTGATCATGTGACATCCCCACACCACCATCAGTTATTGCTATTGGCTGTGCATGATCACGTGACACCACACTAAGCTGATGTCACATTTCACAGCTGGAGGTGCCCCCCCCCCCCCCCCCCCCCTCACCTTCAGCCTTCTTCATCTTGCGGGAGATCTCCACCAGGATTCGTCCGTAGCAAAAGACCATGATGAGGAGCGGGAGGAGGAAGAGGCAGCAGAAGGTGAACATGTTGTAAAGGGTCTCCAACCAGTGGGCCTGAAAGCTGCCCACCGTGCAACACTGGACGAAGTGGACTGGCTGTGACCGGCTCACCGCGTGGAACACAAACAGCTGCGGGAGAAAAGCATATTTACCTGGAGGCACTGAAAACGTCTTACCAATGTTGCCACCAATATGGGGACTTTTATCTGGCAAAGGTTTTGTAAAATGATGTGGGGGTCCTGTGTGACCCCTTCCTCCGACACCACCCACGCTGTGCAAGGTGAAACCTCCCCTCAGTGCAATTACGTACCACTGTCCTGCCTGGAGACCCATCGTGGTCCACCTGGGGACCCATCCCCCTCCCCCCCTCAGTGCAATTACGTACCACTGTCCTGCCTCGGGACCCATCGTGGTCCACCTCCCCTCCCCTCAGTGCAATTACATACCACTGTCCTGCCTGGGGACCCATCGTGGTCCACCTCCCCTCCCCTCAGTGCAATTACGTACCACTGTCCTGCCTAGGGACCCATCGTGGTCCACCTCCAAATGAGGGCTTTAGTTAAAGAAAACCTGTACTGTGTCTATACAGGTCGAAGGAAGAGAACCACCACCTGTACCACCCACCCACCTTGCCTTTACACTGCCAACCACGAGGAGTGAAGATAATCCCTGGCCTCCTACACGACAATAGTGGTGCTTGCCCACTGGTGTCACATGGGACTAGGAACATAGTCCTCGGCCCTGTCTAACCTCCCAGTTACAAGGAGAAGGTAACTCTCTCTTTTCATCCAGAGGCCAAATAGAAGCCAAGGGCGGGTCAGCTACAGAAGGGAACCAACCAGTTTTTATGCCCTTTACGGGAGGAAGCATATTCACTTTGAGGTTAGAGTTAGACTTAAAAAGTAAGGGGTTAAGGTTAAAGCCAAGCTCCAGCCGTCGATTTGCCTTCTTGTCCCAGTGATACCTGACCACTCCACCTCCATCTTCTCTAATGGAGCCCCAAGTAGCAGGAAAAACCTGACAGAGGTTCAACCCCTTCCCCTTTTCATCCAAAACTACATAAAGCATTTTGGCTGCCTGTACACTTTAAACAGTGGAGTCCTTACAGTATGGTGCCTTCAGTCAGCCCCCAAAATGAGACACTGCTCGGAAGACGTTATATGTGACGAAACGCGTAGGGAGGAGCTGACTTTTGTAACATCGCTTCTCGATACCTGTCTGAGTCCCAGGACTGGCTTTATTATATTGCAAGTGTTTTTGTTTCTACCTCTCTATGTGGAATATTTTCATGAAATTGTAGCGCACTCTGTGGCTTCCCCAGTTCTTTTTCGATGGTATGGTGGAGTCTCGGAGCCCATTCAGAGGAGAGTCATACTGCTCTGGGTGGGATCTCATATATACAGGTGCATTTTGACTTCTCTAACCTACCGAGTCAATATAACAGTGGAGTCCTTAGAGTATGGTGCCTTCAGTCCGCCACCAAAATGAGACACTGCTTGGAAGACGTTATATGCGACGAAACGCGTAGGGAGGAGATGACATTAGTCGCTTCTCGATACCTGTCTGAGTCCCAGGACTGGCTTTGTCATATTGCAAGCGTTTTAGTTTCTACCTCTCTATGTGGAATATTTTTATGAAATTGTAGTGATCGGTTTTACACTCTGTGGCTTCCCCAGTTCTTTTTCAATGGTATGGTGGAGTCTCGGAGCCCATTCCAGAGGAGGGTCATACTGCTCTGGGTGGGATCTCATATATACAGGTGCCTTTTGACTTCTCTAACCTACCAAGTCAATATAACAGTGGAGTCCTTAGAGTATGGTACCTTCAGTCTGCCACCAAAATGAGACACTGCTCGGAAGACGTTATATGTGACGAAACGCGTAGGGAGGAGATGACATTAGTCGCTTCTCGATACCTGTCTGAGTCCCAGGACTGGCTTTATCATATTGCAAGCGTTTTAGTTTCTACCTCTCTATGTGGAATATTTTCATGAAATTGTAGTGATCGGTTTTACACTCTGTGGCTTCCCCAGTTCTTTTTCGATGGTATGGTGGGCGTCTCGGAGCCCATTCCACAGGAGGGTCATACTGCTCTGGGTGGGATCACATATATACAGGTGCCTTTTGACTTCTCTAACCTACAGAGTCAATATACTGTATTTAAACTAAATGAGATACCAACCTACCTGTGGAGTAGCCAAGAGTAGACTTAGCGTCCAGGCTACTGACAACATGGCCTTGTTTTTCTTTTTTGCATCTCCTATGCCCAACGGGTTCAAGATGGCGGCGTGCCGGTCAAGGCTGATCACCACGGTAACAAAGGCTGAAGAGTACATGGCCACCAACTTGAGGAACATGAGAATCCGGCAGGCCACATCACCGGCATACCACTGGACAGTGACGTTCCACACCGCATCTAGAGGCATCACCACGAAGGTGATCAACAGATCGGCCGCCACCAGGTTGATGATGAGGATGCGGATGTGCGATTTTTTTCGGTACTTATAGGTGATGGTCCACAGAGTGGCCATGTTAAAACAGGCAGAGGAAATGAAGAGGACGCAGGTGATGGCCACCCGGACCTTGGCAGCGGTGGAGAAGGTGGGAAGCACAAAGTGGTCTTCATTAAGGAAAGTTATATTAGGTCCGTGCGGTTTCTCAAACCCGTTGGCTTGGATGCAGCTGAGGTTAAAGCCTTTGAAGGAGCAGAGCCCCGGAGGAGCGGCCTCTCCATCTCCCATAAGTTGGTCACTAGCGTTCATCTTGAGTTCATGGTCAAGTATGTCCCACTTGGCAGAAGATATGGTCATCATCAATGCCAGACCCAAGTCAAGAGGACCTGTAGTGGAAAGGTTAGAGGGCACTCAGAGGTTATACCACTCTACCAAGCATCGTAGAAAGAACGTTTTAGAAAGTTTGGTAACGGGAGAGAACATATATAGTCTACATAAATATTTCTCTTCCTTTCTGACGGCATCTTAGGTGCTTCTAGTTGTTCACTCTTCCTGGAGCAAATGAGCCGAAACGACTGCCAATCGTCACCTCCAAAACAAGAACTTCATCCAACCGATTTCATCCAGAAAATCCAACTCAGTTGTCGAAAGGTCCTCCTCAACCAACATCTTCTCAAGGACAGCCGGAGATAATACCCAACATGTTCAGAAGAATACAATCAAAATGAAGGTCTACAAGTTGGTCTGCTCCCGGCTTTCCTGCTGGAGTGACCGAGTTCGAGGACCTCTGGTTCCAGCGATCACTTCTGAAAAGAACCAAATACTGTGTTAATATATAACCATGGAACAAGCTCTGCCAACTTTGCAGGAGGTAGATGGGAGGAAACGATGTTCTGCAGATCTCTAGAGAGGCCACTGAGGGAATAAATTGCAAACTATATCGGTATGGATCTGTCAGGAGGGGGATGGGACGGAGCGATGTTCTGCAGATCTCTAGAGAGGCCACTGAGGGAATAAATTGCAAACTATATCGATATGGATCTGTCAGGAGGGGGATGGGACGGAGCGATGTTCTGCAGATCTCTAGAGAGGCCACTGAGGGAATAAATTGCAAACTATATCGGTATGGATCTGTCAGGAGGGGGATGGGACGGAGGATGTTCTGCAGATCTCTAGAGAGGCCACTGAGGGAATAAATTGCAAACTATATCGGTATGGATCTGTCAGGAGGGGGATGGACGGAGCGATGTTCTGCAGATCTCTAGAGAGGCCACTGAGGGAATAAATTGCAAAATATATCGATATGGATCTGTCAGGAGGGGGATGGGACGGGACGGAGCGATGTTCTGCAGATCTCTAGAGAGGCCACTGAGGGAAGAAATTGCAAAATATATCGATAAGGATCTGTCAGGAGGGGGATGATGGAGTGATGTTCTGCAGATCTCTAGAGAGGCCACTGAGGGAATAAATTGCAAACTATATCGGTATGGATCTGTCAGGAGGGGGATGGGATGGAGTGATGTTCTGCAGATCTCTAGAGAGGTCAGTGATTAACAGGGGTGGACTGACAACTCATGGGGCCCCGGGCAATAGGGGATCATGGGGCCCCTGTGTCCTTGCCCAAACTCAAAAAAGCCTATGAAAAAGGTACCAGGGGCATCTCATGGGGCCCCCTACTGACCCCGGGCCCTCGGGCAGTGCTGAGTTTCCAAATGGTCAGTCTGCCCCTGGTGATTAAATAATCTGCAGAATATATCAGTATGGATCTGTCAGGAGGGGATGGGAGGGAGCGATGTTCTGCAGATCTCTAGAGAGCTCAGTGATGGAATAAATTGCAAAATATATTGATATGGATCTGTGAGGAGGGCGATAGGATGGAGCGATGTTCTGCAGATCTCAAGAGGGATCAGTGATGGAATAATCTGCAGAATATATCAGTATAGATCTGTCAGGAGGGGGATGGGACGGAGCGATGTTCTGCAGATCTCTAGAGAGCTCAGTGATGGAATAATCTGCAGAATATATCAGTATGGATCTTTAGGGACAGCGATGAGATGGAGCGATGTTCTGCAGATCTCTAGAGAGATCAGAGATGGAATAATCTGCAGAATATATCAATATGGATCTGTCAGGATGGCGATGAGACGGAGCGATGTTCTGCAGATCTCTAGAGAGCTCAGTGATGGAATAATCTGCAGAATATATCAATATGGATCTTTGACAGCGATGAGACGGAGCGATGTTCTGCAGATCTCTAGAGGGATCAGAGATGGATAATCTGCAGAATATATCAATATGGATCTGTCAGGATGGCGATGACACGGAGCGATGTTCTGCAGATGTCTAGAGGGATCAGTAATGGGATAATGTTTATATCTTGGCTGGTGAGGAGATCTGGTTCGTTTCTCCCGTTACAAGATCGATCTGTCCTGTGAAGTTGAGTATCTGATCATTTATTTATGAAGTAATGGAGCGCGGGGAGCGCGGGGAGCGCTCCGGTTGGGTGGCGGTGTGGGGGGGGGGGGGGCGCTAATCTGCTCTTGTTATTGTCTCATCACCTGTGAAGTATTTATCCTGATCGTTCGGTGTCGTCTGAGGGAAATGAAGACGTTTCGTGACCTATCAGTGCGTCAGATGAGACGTTTTGGTGACAAATAAAAGACGAGTCATGCAGCCACGTCTGACCGCCTCCCACACACAGGACGATCCGGTGCAAAGTTTCCAGGATCTGATCAGTCTGGCCGTTCGATGACTCGATATCTACGACTGGAATCTCAGTTGGACGAGGTGGAAGCAGGGGCGGACTGACAACTTATTGGCCCCCCGGGCAATAGGAGACCATGGGGCCCCTGTGTCCTTGCCCAAACTCAAAAAAGCCTATGAAAAAGGTACCAGGGGCATCTCATGGGGCCCCCTACTGACCCCGAGCCCTCGGGCAGTACCGAGTTTCCAAATGGTCAGTCCGCCCCTGGGTGGAAGATCCTTTTATTTCTTGCGTTTGATACATTGTCAACGCTACCAGCCCCAGACCCCTCATGGTTTTTCTTTTGTAGGTTTTTTTTTTTAATTCAGCATACCTGGCACCCATTGGACCCAATCTAGCTCACCATCATGTAAAAAAAAATTCAGCTCTGGGTGTAATCTGAGCTTCAGTTATCCGGTTCTACTTTTTTTGCAGCAATGCAGTTAGGATTAGCTCAGTTAACGCCTAAAAGGAGCTTAGGGTGCCATCTGCTGGATGAAAAGCTTTCCAGATTATGGAAGAGCTCACACTTACTGAACTAAAATATATATTTTTAAGTCCTGACCATAATAAATACGGCAATGGAGCAGAATGGGAATAATAGTACTCACTGATGACACGCTGTACTCTCACAGGATTCGGATCGGACAGCAACTTCGGGATTCTTCCGCTTCTTCACCGGCTCTGCACCTTCGCCTGTATAGGAAGCCCTTGGTGGGGGTGGGATAGCTGTGGTGGTGGGATAGCAGTAGAGGTGGGATTAGTGGCGGTGGGATAGCAGTGGTGGAGGGATAGCGGTAGTAGTGGGATAGCAGTGGTCGTGGGATTAGTGGCGGTGGGATAGCAAGTGGTGGGATTACAGTGGTGGTGGGATGGTGGTGGTGGGATAGTGGTGGTGGGATAGCAGTGGTGGAGGGATAGCAGTGGTGGGATTACAGTGGTGGTGGGATTGGTGGTGGTGGGATTGGTGGTGGTGGGATTAGTGGTGGTGGGATAGTGGTAGTCGTGGGATATCGGTGACGATGGGATATCGGTGGTGGTGGGATATCGGTGGTGGTGGGATATCAGTGACGATGGGATATCGGTGGTGGTGGGATAGCAGTGGTGGTGGGATATCAGTGACGGTGGGGTATCGGTGACGGTGGGATAGCAGCAGCGGTGGGATTACAGTGGTGATGGAATATCGGTGGCAGTGATGGTGGGATAGTGGAGGTGGTTGTATAGTGGCGGTGGGATATCGGTGGCTGGTAGGATAGCGGCGGCGGTGGGATATCGGTGATGATGGGATAGCGGTGGCAGTGATGATGGGATAGCGGTGGCAGGTGATGGGATAGTGGAGGTGGTTGGATAGTGGCGGTGGTTGGATAGTGGCGGTGGGATATCGGTGGCTGTAGGATAGCGGTGGCGGTGGGATAGAGGTGACGGTTTGGATAGCGGTGGCGGTGGGATATCGGTGGCTGTAGGATAGCGGCGGCGGGGGGTAGTGGAGGTGGTTGGATAGTGGCGGTGGGATATTGGTGGCTGTAGGATAGCGGTGGCGGTGGGATAGAGGTGACGGTTGGATAGTGGCGGTGGGATATCGGTGGCGGTGTGAGATATCGGTGGCTGGTAGGATAGTGGCGGCGGTTGGTGGGATATCGGTGGCTGTAGGATAGCGGCGGCGGTGGGATAGTGGGAGGTGGTTGGATAGTGGCGGTGGGATATCGGTGGCTGTAGGATAGCGGTGGCGGTGGGATATCGGTGGCGGTGGGATATCGGTGGCGGTGGGATATCGGTGGCTGTAGGATAGCGGCGGCGGTGGGATAAGTGGAGGTGGTTGGATAGTGGCGGTGGGATATCGGTGGCTGTAGGATAGCGGCGGCGGTGGGATATCGGTGATGATGGGATAGCGGTGGCTCCTGCTGCGAAGTCTTGCTGCAGAGGTCCCGTTCAGGAACTGTCGGGGGTGATGACTTTTGGGTGCCAAGTTCTGTACCTGATTTTTTTTTCTCTGCACTGACAGTTCACTCTTCAGGTAAATCTTTGGAGAAATCCTCCGACGTCCTCTGGTCCCGGCGGCGGAGGAATCGTCTCGGACGCAGTCTGCAGTCTCCCCCCCATAGAGGTCATTCACTCATTGCAGATGTGCGCTGAGACTCCTCTTCTTGTGCTGGAGAGACCCCCGACTCCCCTCAGTGCTGCAGCCGAGGACACCGTCACCTTTCCCTCTCCACACCAGCTGCTTCTGTATTCCCCCCGGCGTCCCCGTGACACATCGCTCTGCAGATCCTACGTGGGCTCCGGGAACTGAGATCGTCTGAAAACGCTGCAGAGAACTCAAGGAGCGAATGGATTTGCAGCGGAGTCCCCCCCCCTCCTATAAATAGACTGCAGATCTCCCCCCCCCCCCCCCCCCGTACCAATAGCAGACTATTCTATTCCTGACACCCATAGGAGTTATTACACCCGGCGTGACGTCATAATAAACCGACTCCGACAGGACGGGGGACGCCGGATCCATCACTACAACAGAGTGTGAGCTCCTGGGAGCCGGGGGCCACTTCCTGTTGTATCCAAATAATTACATTAC